AGGCAAAGACCTAAAAGAACGTTGATTTTTACCAATCATGAGCTTGTGTAAATTTTAAATCTGATGATGGCGCTGTTGTCTCGCCGAAACGTAATATGAAATACACATTTTTATTTCACATTTTGAAACCCAGCAAAGATAAGAACGTTGAATTGTTGGCTTTAATCACGACACTCCTGCAAAGGAATTTCCACTAATCAAAGTCGCGAGTGTTTCAACACCTGTTCCCAAAAATCACCACTTGAGCAGCCTGCGTTATCAATGGCACCTTAGTAGACAATCAAAGGAACCTTCTCAACAACGTGAAACACGTTTAAACAGATTTGTTTCAAGTGCTGGCCGATCGGCATCGTCGACTAGGCCCGATCTTCCGCAGCTGGTATGGAAGTCTGCCAATGGTGCACATTTACAAGCCCGAACATGTCGAAGTAGGAGTTGACTGATGCCTAAAATCTCTTGGAAAGGCGTCGATTAACTTTGCAACTTTCAGGTGATCTTCAAAAGCAACACCATTACAAGCAAGGGCATGTTCTACAGGTTCTTCATGATGTGGTTGGGCCAAGGCCTAATTTCCGGAAGCGGTAAGCTCGAGGTTTTTGTTAGGTTTAGGTTCAATTTAGGGGGTTTTTAGGGCCGAGATGGCGCGCACACCGAAAGATAATCACTCCATCGTTTCACTTCAAAATCCTCGACTCGTATGGGGAGATTTTTGCGGAAAAGGGCGCCTGCCTGGTGAATTATCTGCGGAAATTTGAGGGCAAAGGGTTTGTGGAGATCACTGAAGACTTGACCAAGATTGGCCTGGATGTTATTACCGGTAGCAACAAAACTGTCCTAAACTCAGCCTGGTTAACGTAACTCTTCCTCTTCCTCTTCCTCTTCCAGAGACAGCCATGGGAGTGAGACTGGGTTTCCTGGAAGGCAGCAGTGCTGAGGGGCTTGAATACGCCAAGGCCATCATCAAGTCAGTGTTGCGCCCTGATTGAAGCTCCCTCATTGTGTTCTGTGCAACGTTGCAGCTTTAGTCGGATTGCCTACCGACGCTGCGTGAATCCCCTCTACGGCAACGATTTCCTCTTCCACTGCACGCCCCTGGGGCG